TAATATACAGGTAGTACGTGTGACATAGAAATAATTGGTGCAAAAGTTAGTTCGTGTTATATTAAATATTTACAAAAAAGTAAATATTAAATTTACAAAAAAGGTAAATATTTGTTTTTGTATTAATTAATTAAAAATAGAATAATTTAATTGCAAACCAATAGAATTTGGGTTCTGTAACATGTGGGTAGCACTAATAGGGGCTGCTACTGTTACACAGAAAACGTATCCAAGTATTGGGGGCAAGGTAGTATAAAAGTAAAAAATAAAAAAAAATAAAAAAATAAAATAAAAAGAAGTTTAGAACAAAAGGACCGTAACTTTGTTAATATTGGGCCTATTGGGTTAAAATTTGGCTTGTTATAACGAAAAAAGTATGTAGAGCAACTTTTTCTAAGCTTGAAGAGTAGGTTTAGAAGTATGTTTTTGCAAAAATGACAAAAGTTTGACTTTTGGGCCAAAAAGGCTATCAAGATGCTTAGCTTTAGAAGTTCGAAAGCTAACGGCTTAAAACTTAAATATTATATATAAAATTGTGTGAGCGACAATTTTATTTAGAACTAGAAAGTATAGTTACTTAATAAAATTAAATGTAAAATGTGTTTTTATATTTTAGAAGTTTTAAGAATTTTTGTACTAGGGATTTATGAAAGAGTTTTCTTCTTTTAGCAAATTTAATGATATAAGAAAGTATATTTTTTTAAAAATAATATAGCCTTTAAAATTTTACTATTATAAATAGAAATTACAATTAATATTTTATAAAAATTTGGTAATGATTAACTATGTTTATAAAAATTTTTATCAGTAGCTAATTTTTATTGTTTATATAAGGTCTTGATTTCCTATATATATTATATAAAAAATAATCTATATATACTCTATTCTTAAAAGTAAATATATGGGATCTTTGCTAGAAAAATAACTCTACGAGCCATTGTTATACAAGATTTTTATTAAGAAAAACATAATAAATCTATTTTTAGAAAAAAAAAATCCTAGCAAAGATCCCATATATAAATTGTATATACTAATAACTAAGAGGTTAAACCATAGCAAAACTTATTAAAGAAATAAAAAAAAAATTTTTATTTTTTCTCTTAGTTAGTATCTTTATAAAAAGATTTTTTAGATACAGAAATCTAATAAATAGCCTTATTTTATATTAGTAATAAAATTATATTTTATCTATAAATCTTTGTTTCTATAATAAACTGCTTTAGAGAAGAATATAATTTTTATACAAATACAAAAAATTATATTTATCTCTTAAATACTACTATTAACTTGTAAAGAATCTCTGTAGTTATATTGTTATTATAGTAGCAAGTTTAAAAAAATCTCTTTACTATAACAATACAATAATAAAAAAATATCTTATACTGTTTAATATACTTAGTATAATAGAAATAAAGCTCTTTATAAGGCTCTTGTTGAGATGCAGAACCAAAATAGAATATATATATATATATATATATATTTTCAGACAATTCTGCTTTTATTATAAGAAGTATAAATAATATACTACTCTAAAACCTGTTTGTCTATATACAAGAGTCACAAATTTCTCTTCTACATAATAAAAACTTATCCAGTTACTGAAGTATCTAAATGTGATCTGTCATAGCAATATATTCACTTATTTCTAGAGCCCTAACTTACTAGAGCTTATTTATCAATTCTAGAGATTGGAACCGTTTAATTGCAAAAAAATTTTTTATAGTGCCGGGCTGAATTATGTTTATCATGGGCCAGGACAATTTTAATGCCGGCTAAATTTTTACGGTTAATACGGTTAAACGATTAACGGTTAAGAAAATTTTAAGCGGTTCCAATCCCTAATCAATTCATTGTAAGCCTATTGCTAGCTTTATTAAGATTGTCTTTTTTTTCTTTCTTTACAAATTTTTTTATCTAGATTTGGGCAAAAACGTTAAACCCTTACTTTTATCTAAGAAAAAACAACAATAGCTATAATTATAAAAGAAAATAAAAATCAAATTTAGAAAATGAAAAAAAAAGAGAAAAAAGAAAAAAAAAAATATAACAGAAAAAGAAATTCCAAACTCTATTTAATTATAACTGAAAAAAGATAAAAAAAATATAAAAAAAAAAAAAAGAAACAATGAAGATAGCACTATTATAACCTGTGCAAGGCTAAAAAATTATATACTACTTAAGTACAATATTTGTATATCTCTATTATATAGCTTCATCTTAATTATACTTTTACTCTTAACTAGTAACCAACTTAAAAATTTTTGACCGATTTACTCCTAGTCCATATCTCAAGTCAGGTACTGCTGCCATCTAAGAACCCATATTTCAAGCCACCTGCTGATGCTTCTATAGACTTTTGATCTGAGGTTGATCTAAAAAAGTAGCTTCGTATTTATTTGGACTAAACATATGGTTGTCTTCTACTATGTCATCCAAATTTGGTAGATGTAAACAATAATGACCTTTTAATAGAGTAAGCTGTTTTGCCCACTTTTTTGAAAAAATTTGTTGTAAATACAAGTGGGTAATAATAAGAGAGGTAGATCTTTAAAAGAGTGTATATTTTTCTTGAAAAGTAGTAAAATATGGAGAGTCAACTATACTACTAGTTTTTTTTTCAGTAAGTGATAAACTCTGAGCTTGTTTGCAGACAGTATATGAGAACTGCTTCTAAATAACAAGTGCTGTCCTCACAGTGAGTAATAAACTTTAAGCCTATTAGCAAATAGCATATGAGAACTATTTCTAAATAATAGGTGCCAGTTTATGGTTTTCTTCAGTCTTATGTTCTTCTTTTCTACTATAAACTACTATTTTTGTCAAAAATTTTTGTGGTGAGTTTTAGTACAAGTGATCGTTAAAAAGAGTGCAATTTGAAATATAAATATATATTAATTCTTATAATAGTTTTGAATAAAATATTAATTTTGTAATCTATATTATATTGTGATATAAAGTTAAGTTCTTAAAAAGAAAAATTGCAGAGTTAGAAGCAGAGTTAAAAGAAATTTGATTTTGGGATACAGAGTTAGTAAAAAAGAGATAAAGAATATTAGTAAGTTGTTTAGAAAAAAAATTAGTAATATATTCAGGTTATTGGGTTAGAAAGCTATATAAATAATATTCAAGAAGCAGGAGTTGTAGTAAATTTAAATGAAGAATTTGATCTTTAAATTTTCAATTTTTTCATTTTTTTTCATTTTTTTCATTTTTTTTCAATTTTTTTTTGTTTTATTTTATTTTTATTTTATTTTATTTTATTTTATTTTGGTTTATTTTATTTTATTTTTTTTTGGTTTATTTTATTTTATTTTTTGGTTTATTTTATTTTATTTTTTTTTTGGTTTATTTTATTTTATTTTTTTTTTGTTTTATTTATTTTATTTTTTTTATTTATTTTATTTTATTTTTTATTTTATTTTATTTTATTTTATTTTAGTTTTGTTTTATTTTATTTTATTTTATTTTATTTTTTGTTTTATTTTATTTTATTTATTTTATTTTGTTTTATTTTATTTTGTTTTATTTTATTTTGTTTTATTTTATTTATATATATATATATCTTTTTGCATTTTAATAAAATAAATTTTTAATAAAAAAAATCAATCATAGTGCTCGGCAAAATCAAACAAAAACTCGATTTTCGAGCTTTTGAAAAAGTTGAGCATCTATCGGTTACACAAATAGGGTTTTAAATTATATTAAATATTTTTCTTAAACTTCAAAATAGCGATAGTAATATTCAATATAATTTAAACCCCAATTTGTGTAACCGATAGATGTACAACTTTTTTAAAAACTCGAAAATCGAGTTTTTGCTTGATTTTGCCGAGCATTATTGAATCAATCATCTAAATATTCCAACTAAAGGCTATACTGAACTTGGTACCTAGCAGATAGCTCCTATAGCCAGTCTCGAATTTGAATCTGCATAACAACAGCCCTTCATTGTGACTGTTAATCCATATTCAGATGATATTAAAAATTTTTATAGCTACTCCTTATAAACATCAATATAAATAATGACCAATTATAATACTTGTTTTCATATGAAACCTATTTATAGAAGATTATTGATGATCTAGCCATATCTAATCTTCTATAATAACTTGTAGTATTGGTAGTAGTTTTTGATAATAGAGTTTAATCAATCACTGTTTATAGATTCCTTAAGTATTTTTCAGTCTAATGTTCATAATTTGTATGCTCCATTATTCAAAACTTCATAGATATAGTACGGTCCTTTCCATGGGTCAACTAGCTTTCTTCTTCCTTTTAATTCACTCTGGTATAATAAGACAAGATCTCCTATTTTATATTTAACCATTTCTTTTAAATTTTGATCATGTTTTTTCTTTTAGTACTCTTGAGATCTTTCGATATTCTTTTGAACTTGTTTTGATAAGCAAAGAGTGCAAAAGATATATACAAATCCCAATCATCTTAATTTTCATTTGAAAACTTTGCCAAGATTTCACTTAAGGTTCCATTAAAACGTTCGACAAGCCCATTTGTTTGGGGATGGTAAGCAGATGATAATTTATGCTCAACTCCGCCCTTGGAGGTAGAGGAGAGAGAACGTTAAATGAAATTATAAATTCAAACCGCCTTAAAATGAATTAACTATAATTTAATCTGGGACTAAACGTGCAGAGATTATTAAAGAGTAAAATAGTTAATTTTTTATATTTTCTGGATTTATTTTATACTGACAGTTTACAAATTATGCGTTGGTATGAGTCATATAAGAAAGATATTATTAATATAGTAATAGATAAAAATCAGTTCTGTATCTTATTAAAACTGCTAAATATATAATAAAATTTTGTTTTGTGCTTTTTTCCTTTTAAAATTTGCTTTTTCATTTTCATTAAGGATTGGAATCTAATGATCGTCATAAAAATTACGAACAGTTAAAAAGCCAGAGAAAACATAATTTCTTTTGTTTCATTAAATATTCATTGATAGACTTCTTGATTAATCAAAATCAATAAAACATGCTAATTTTGACCGGTTCCAATCCCAGAGTCTCCCTTGTTAAAATTTATATTTTCTTTCTCATATCCACCATGCTTTTCTTTTTGTTTTAATTTCTTCTTAACCAGATATTTTTGGCGTGCAATAGCTGCTTTTAGTGATATCGACTCGTTTGGTACGAAGTATGCAATCACCTTAATTGCATACACAAGATGCTGTTTAAATCAAAAACAAATATTTGAGTCACTAAATATAGTATTAATTAACGACATTTAATTAATTAATTACCTCAAAAGCAATAATAAATAAAAGCCTAGCAATTAATAGATGATTTTCATTCTCATCTGTGTATTTAAGGAATTGTGCTTTCAACCAATTAGAGTAAAATGTAATAATAATCGTATTTGATAGTACACCAAAAATCGAAAGGAAATTCAAGGCCTTTTCCCACATTCCAATATCTTGAGCTTGATATCCTACCGGCCGGCGTATAGAGTTTATATACTTTAAGTACATTAAAAATATAATATTTTCAATTAATTTAATTGGTTTAAATGAACGATAAACAAAAAGAAGGTTGACTAAGTATCTGAACGGCTTGTCTGGCTTTTTATTAATTATACTGTAAATAACTGGCCATTCTAATACATCTACAACTTATACTGTAAAAAAAAAAAAAGATTTACTTTGAAAGCATCTGTTCTGAACTCAACAACGTTATTTAACCAAGCAAACAGTGGTGCTAAAGGAAATACTGTGCAAAATAATGTTATAAATCCGAATTGTATAACTAAAATATTGATTAATATATTAGTATAATGGTTTTTGGTTACACGCAAATATAAATAAATAAGTCACACCAATTTCCATATATTCTGAATCTTGTATTTGAGGTGGTTCATCTAAATGATCATCTTCCACCCATTGTGGAACTATATCGTTTTCTCCAAGTACTTGTTTTAGTGTGTCTTTGTTTAATCGACTTTTAACAAGCCTATAAACAAATAATGGCTTAGAGAAAGTTATAAAAAGGAAATAGATTTTACAAAAATACATACGGAATAAGGACTTCACTAATTTGTCCAAATGCTTGCTTCCCGATCATGATAATTGCTAATTGAACAGTAAGTTCTGTAAAGCAATTGTCATATTCACATCCTGTTGTAACATTAGAATTGTGGATCATGTCTTTTATAAACTAAAATTGAAGTAAAAATATGGTTACATTATAATAGTTAAAACTCAATAAATAATTCAACACTCACCTCTTGTTTAAGCAATATAACGTATAACAAAGCGGTGTAAAAATTTACAAAATCGAAAAGAAATATTTTAAGAATCAAAGAATCTTAATATTTACAAGATAATGAATTAATATAAAATAAAAATACAAGTGTAACCAAACTAAATTTACAAAAATAGAAACCTTCATATGCTGTTTCGGTTCTGTGATTTTCAAAATCTGTCAGCCATAGTGACAAATTACTATACAACTTTTATCGTTACAAGATAGTAGCTTTAAAATTATCATATATATATTTTTTAAAAAACACTTTGTAACATTGGATAAAATGAATATATATGTTTACCATTCTAAGTATTAACATTACCACGAGACTCACTATAGCAGTGGTGACGGATGTGTAAATACCGATATGAATCCAAATTTTTGGAAAAATAAGCAAAACTCCAGATGTAATCAGAAAAATGCATAGCTTTAAAATATTGAATGAGAAAAATTTAAAAATTTTGCTTCTGATAAATTCTACGATTAATCAAACCAATGAAAAACTTACTGAAACAGAGATAATAATTCCAGAAATCATAAATTTCCTTATTTTTTTCCTGAAAGGGAAATACATTTCTTCTTTCCCAGTAATTGGTGAAGGACGGCGTTCTTTGATTGAAGATAAAAAAATATTTTAATTTCGAAAATATAAGGTAATAAAATTAGCAAATTATACAGACCTGTTCCATAAAATTCTGGTCTTGGTAATTCCTAAACGGTTAAATTAATAAGATCTATTTGTTAATATTAATGCAAGCATGTGTCAGATTTATGAATTTATTACCTCTTCTTCATAGTCCATGACATCCCAATTATATTGTAAAGTATTGTTTGCTCTTTTCCAATATTCTAAAAACGCAGTAGCTGTAAAAAAGAAATATGTAAATAAATTCGTTTATCCAGTGCACAGCACTGACTAAAGTATCCAGTTTGCCACATAGTTAATGAGGCACGACGTGTCGAATAACTGTGGGATTTGTAGAAGTGCAAATTCGACCAACTAGAAATACCAGTGAATAGAGTTTCTAATACCACCAGTAAACCGCGATGGCGTTCTACGATGCCGCAGTTATGACGTCATTTTTTAATAACTGTTTTATCCGGCATTTATATTTAGGAATTTATTTAATATTCACCGGCGGTGAAATTCACCATTATTAATAATTTTAGGGTTAGGGTCAGTTTTAGAATAAAGAGGAGTTTTATATAACTAATGTAGATATAGAAATATAAGGTCCCGATTTCAGTTCTCGTGAGGTTTTCAGGGGTCCTGAACATTTTTACTTAGACTCTCTGACTTTAATTACTTAGTACGTTTTTGAGATATAACACCCCGGTGAATTTCACTTTGTTTTATGGATTTTTCAACAATCATTTTCCCGACACCTAATCTCCTACCAACGCTAAATGTCGAGGAAATGAATGCCGCTGTTAAAATGTATCCGGGTTAACTTAATCTAAAACGTTAAAATCCCGGATATCAGTAACAAATATTAGCTGAAACGAATATTTTTGATCTATGATTTGGCTGATATCTGAAATGGAAAATCCAAAAATGCCGGATAAAAAAATTCAAATATAACGTTTCTATGGACATGATAAATATGTCCAGTGATAAAAGTTTCTCTTCTTATATGCCGCAATCACATAACACAGATTCGTACGTACGTACTTTAGTCAATGCTGAATGGCATAGCCGTACTCCTCTATAGTCACCCTACATATAATCGCATCGTAAGAAAACCTTATAGTCACGATACTTTTGCCTTTTTTTCAAAAAAAAAATAAAAAAAATAAAAAATAAAATAAAATAAAATACCTAACAGTAAAAATAGCACAATAGTAAACGGACTATGATTATAAAGGAGTATGTCTTGTATTATCACAACTTGTAAATTCCATACACCATAATGTCATAAATAATGCAAAAGGGACAGTAAGAGCATTATCAACAATAGAGGAAACAGTTCCAATATTTTTTGAAGACACTAATCCTCGACTTTAAAAAAAGAAGACAAATATTAAATTTCAACGCCAATATCCATAGAAATTGAATACAAGATTACAAACCTAAATGCATCAATCAATCCATAAATAAACACAATCAATCCAACGATAGAAGGTATCGTTAACCAATTCGTATAATACTCTGAATCCAATTTCATTACCGTTATCAACAATTAGATACATACACAAAGACATATATACAATGTGCAAAACCAAATGCGCTCACCTAGAAATACAAAATATAATGCCAACTTTTCTCCAAAATAGTCTCGTATTTGGTCCAATGGCTTACTTTTCCAATTTTTGATCCATGAATCATTCAATTTTGTACGTAAACTGTTTTTATCAGATATTGAGCCATCATGAAGAGGATAATAATCGGTGAAGACCTTCTCTCTCAGAAGCGTTGATATAGCAAAGACATTGCTTAATCGTTTCAAATTTTTAGTAAAAACTTGAGTATTATCCTTCTCTTCTTCGTCTTTGATTTTGTCTTCATTAACGTATCCCCTTAAGACAATATGGTTGGCTACGTTCATTATATAATCAACCTATTGAAAAAGTATAGTTTTTTACTATAATATATAAAATGAAAACTTAAATTTGATGAAAAATTTACCAATAAATTTCTCCTTGCTGAACTGAAAAACTTCAAAAATGAATCCATCTCATTTCCACCTTCAAACTTTTCCAAATATTTTTTTTTGAAAGGAGCAGATAGTTTATATTTGTTTAAAGTAATAAATGTTAGATTAGGTAAGAACCACTTGTTTAGAGTTTTATAGTTTTCTGGCTCAGGTTTATGGTCTTCTGACTAGATTAAAAGAGAGCTACATATTAATATAAAATTTTTAGCTTATGAATTAAAAGCAGAAAGTTAAATTTACTTTTAAGGGAAAATCGAGTTTCATAGGCTCGGCATAATCGCAAAGCAATTTGAATGGCGCAAAAACCTTTACATATTTAATATTTTCGTCATCGGATTTAGTTTCTTCTTCAACCACCAACCCTACACGAAGAAGCAATTTTATGAAGTCATCACGCCTATTTTTTTTTTTCTCGTCATTATCTACAAAATATTTAAGAATAAAGTCGGGAAGATGATCGGCAAAGAACGTTTTTGCAATGGCATCTACTTTTCTTGCATATGGATTATTTACTGAAAATATACATTCAATAATTAACTGTAATGTATCGATCGACCAATAAAAACCATAAGAATCTTTTAACCAATAAATAAGAGATATTACAAAGTTGGTATCCTATTGTTGTCTTTAGACGGTTTTCTTGCCCTGTCATTTTCACGAGTTGGTATTCTATCGTTTCCTCAAGCGTGGTTGGTTCTTTTTTATTGATCCATTTCTGAATATTTTCAAACAATTTAATGTCATTTTCATTCAAAAAAAATATCTTTCTACGAGAAATCTCTCTTTCATTCTCTGACTTTAACGGCATAGAATAAAGGTTTATGCTACCCAAGTTGAAATTATTTTCATTATCTGATAAAATTTTATCGTCCTGTATGATCACATGCAATTAGTATCAAAATTCTAGAATTCCCTAGAATTTCGAGCAAATTATATACTACCTCTTTCAGAGTTATATTAATTGCAACTTCCTCACTCGTAAAAGACATATCCTTTATTATTTGAGACGACAATTCAATGTTTCTTATTCTAGCGTCGGTAAGTGAAGATGTAAATAAAGCCCTGACAAATAACTCATTTCTTATAATGGCTAATTTTTCAACAATAACCATGTACACATTTAACGTAATACAATAAAGGACCCTAAAGCGATGTGCGAGTAACACAAACCAAAAAGGAAATCGAATTTTGTAAATAAATTAAGTGCGTAAAAATAGAAGTTTAAGATTAGGACGTTAGGGTTGTGAG